CCAGTACCCCCCTCTGTTTTCACCATTTCTCAAACAGCAGAGCCAGGTCACAGAACCAAGGCACCTCTTCCTCTCCCGTAGATGGTGGCCTTTATCCCAAATGTTAAGATTTTCTTTTGTGTTTGAAGGGAGCACAGCAGTTCTTATAGCAATTCCCTGCGATGTCAGGGCAGGGTCACAGTAGGTTTACAGCTGTTCCTATGGAAACTACACAATCCTTCCTATATAATAAAACCCTAATATGAAAATTGACCAAACAGTGGAACGACCGCTGACGCTCACTGACCACTAGGGGGAAGATGCTCAGTGCAGGGACCCTCACCACTAGGGGGAAGATGCTCAGTGCAGGAGCTGCCCCCTGGTGGTCAGTGCACTCCCACAGGACAGTGGTCGGCAAACTGCAGCTCATGAGCCACATGTGGCTCTTTGGCCCCTTGAGTGTGGCCACGACGTTTCAATCGCACTGTACGTGCGTGCCCACATGTGGTATTTTGTGGAAGAGTCTCACTCAAGGGGCCGCAGTTTGCCGACCACTGCCACAGGAGGAGTGCTGCTCAGCCAGAAGCCGGGCTCATGGCTGTTGAGCGCAGCAGTGGTGACAGGAGCCTCTCCTGCCTCCGTGGCAGCGTTAAGGACCCCTTGGGGGATGTCTGACTGCCGGCTTAGGCCCATTTCCCATGTGGAGTGGGCCTAAGCCTTGCAGCAGGCCTAAGCTGGCAGTCAGACATCCCCCGGGGGGGTCCCGGACTGCCAGAGGGCACAGGCTGGGCTAAGGGACCCGTTCTCCACCCCCTGACCCCCCAGTGCATGAATGTTGTGCACCGTGCCTCTAGTTAATAAATAAAATACACGAATAAACTCTGTGCTTCGAGTGCTCACAGCTGTAACCCGACCTTTGTCCCTCCCTGTCCGCCCACTGACTGAGAAAGGAGATGGTGGTGAGCACAAGTGTGGCCCCTCTGCCCTGTCTGAGTGGTGAACGCTGCTGAGCTGATACGACGGTGGAATTGAGTTTTGGAAAAATTGATCTTCAAAAGCTAACCTGAGTCCCGTTTCCTTTGTGGTGTCACTGGCTCTGACGGTCAGTTCCCCATCACACATGTGGCGGCAGCATTTCTGACAGTTTCTGTCACTGTGATAATGACTTATTCCTGCACACAGTTTAGTTACACAGCAGGTCCTTGGGTCACGTGGGAGATCCGTTCCTACGGCGACTTAATGCGATTTATGTGAGAGAAGCACGATTGGTTACCTCCTGGACGTGTTCCAACCAGGGCCCAGGCCAGGGAGGAGCCTACAACTAAGGTGCATGCCCTGGACTGGAATCGAACCCGGGACCCTTTGGTCTGCAGGCTGATGCTCTATCCACTGAGCCAAACTAGCCGGGGCCATTTTAGTCTTTAAATCAAGGGTCAGCCAATCGTGGCCCTCGGGCCGAGGCCAGCCCTCTGCCTGCTTCTACAAATAAAGTTTTATTGGAACGCAGTCCATCCACGTGCCACCTGCTCCTTTCCTGTTAGAGCTGCCGCCTGAGCCCGTGGCTGCAAAGCTGGACGCGTTTGCAGAAAAACGCGCTCGCTCCTTTAACACGCACCTTCGTGGCCTAAGACCGGACCGCCAGCCTCTGGAACATACAGGGTTTTTCCCCTTTGGGTTCTTTGTGGACGTTTGGACTCTGTTCACGAGCTGTTCTCTCCACCCCCAGGACCTGAACTGTCTCATGGAGAGATACCTGAAGCCCCTGCAGAAGGAGACCTTCCTCACCCCGGACGAGGTACGGGCGCAGTCACCTGGGGGGGGGGCGGCGCAAGGGTGGGAACAGCACCTCAGACCCCTCTCACTGTAGCAAAAGGTCAAGTCCCAGCGCCCGAGAGGAGGGGCTCCCGCCCCCGGGGCACCGTTATCTTCGTCCTGAGATCGGCAGGAAGCTGCTGAGATCAGAAGCGACTCCTTTCTGATCACGAACGAGAAAGATGACGTCGGTTAAACTCCTTTTCATTTTCCAGCTTGACGTGCTTTTCGGCAATTTAACCGAAATGGTGGAGTTTCAAGTAGAATTCCTTAAAACTCTGGAAGATGGAGTGAGACTCGTCCCGGATTTGGAAAAGCTCGAGCGAGTCGATCAGTTTAAGGTCAGTCGGGCCTCAGTCAGGGGCGGGCAGGCGGGGAGGTGGAGGCCGAAAGTGAAATGGAGAGAAGACCACACTGGCCTCTGCCTGCCAGTGTGTGGGTTCCCAAGCAGCCGTGGTGGTTGTGAGTAGCCCGTCCTTCCCAATTCCCTGCCATGTCCGTCAGCCAGACTACACGCTGGGACCGGTTCCTCACTCCCATCCACACCTGTTTTCATTGCCCGGGTAAGGGGCGTCTGTCTCGAACAAGTCCAGCTCGCGTGAAACCACAGAGCAAGCACGTCCAGCTCGCGGCTGGCGGGCCGCAGGCGAGGCCCGAGTGTGACGTGCTTGCTCTGCAGGGCTCTCTCCTGAGGCCTGTTTCACATGCTCGGATAGAAGCCCCGGCCTCGACAGTCCTGCCCCGGGAGCTGGTGAGGGGCTCAGGTCTGGCCTTTTCCGATGCACCGTGTTTCCCATTCACACCCCACACCTCACACCCACACAGGCCCTTTCAACACCGGCTGCCTGGCCGCGTGGCTCAGGGGTTGAGTTGACCTGTGAACCAGGAGGTCGCGGTTCGATACAGGCCCGGTTTGTGGGCTCGATCCCCAGTGTGGGGCGTGCAGGTGCCAGCCGATCGATAACTCTCTCATTATTGATGTTTCTCTCTCTCCCGCTTCCTTCCGCTCTGAAATAAATAAAAATGCATTTTAAAAACACAAGTAACACTGGCCTAGAAAACTGGCCCCTGCACTGTAATTACTGAAAAGGCCAAACCCCAAACCCGTTACCCAGGTTTGTGAGCCCACGTGCTTTCGGGGGCCGTTCCAGGCCCCCAGTAGCGGAGGGAGGAGCTGGGACGGGGTGACTGATGCTGAGCGGGCGGGTCAGGCCGGCGGGGTGCCCGAGGGCCTGCGGGTACCCCAGGTGAGCGCGGCCCGAACTAGCCAGGCCTCTTCTCCTTAAACCCAGAAAGTGCTGTTCTCGCTGGGGGGCTCCTTCCTGTACTACGCCGACCGCTTCAAGCTGTACAGCGCCTTCTGCGCCAGCCACACGAAGGTGCCCAAGGTCCTGGTGAAAGGTAAGGCCGCGAGGGCAGGCCGGGGCCAGGGCCAGGGCCGTGGTGGGAGCGTTCGGACGGAGAGCGAAGGGTCGTCGATGGGGCAGCCGACGTGCGACAGCCGCGGATGAGGGCTCCGAGAGGACAGGCCGCGGAGCCGGGCTAGCCGTGTGTCGCTTTCCTGAAAACGCACCTTCTGCCTGAGCTATTTTGGTCCAGAATTGCAGGGTCGCTGAAGTTACAGGAAATGCAGGGTTTGGAAATTCCCCACTTTGTTCCTGTTCTCCGTCAATTGCGTTGTCACCCGCCCCATCGCACCTGCCTTCCTGTGGCCTCCTCCTGCCCTCACCTGCTTCTGCTCCAAAGGCGGTGCCCACGCCTGTCCTTCCCGGGCACGTGGTCCCAGTTACTCCTGGAAACTGCTCCGGCTGCAGCTGCTCCCACAGAACGGAGTGGGGTTTTCACAGCAGCAGGCTCCCCTCCCCCCACCCCTCAGCGGCCCGGGAGGCGGGGCATCTGAGGGTCCCCACAAGGCGGTTTGCTGCCACCTTCACCTGTGGTGGCTGGTGACAGAAAAGGGTCAGGGAGGCGCTTCCTTGGTCAACACTGTAACCGACAGGAGGTTGGATTTCAGGGGATCTCGGGACACCAGCCGCTGTCCCCGCACCTCACCCCGCACCTCACGTGGCTGCACGTGCACGGCTGCTGGTGTGTAAACGGTTTGTGCACGTTGTGCTTTGACTTCCTTTAACACCTGTCACGGGACATGTTGGCACCAGGGGGTCTCTGGACCCGACAGCCTGCAGTGCGTCTGTGCAGTCAGGTGCAGTGGGAATTTAGAGGGAGGCTGGGACCCTGTCTGGCTGTCCGTCCCACGGTGCTGTGTCCGGCATACAGTCCTGTGTGTGTATATCCCTTCTTTTTTAAATGTATTTTTATTGATTTCAGAGAGGAAGGGAGAGGGAGAGAGATAGAAAAATCAATGATGAGAGAGACACATGGACCGGCTGCCTCCTGCACGCCCCCTACTGGGGATCAAGCCTGCAACCTGGGCCTGTGCCCTGACCGGGAATTGAACCCTGACCTCCTGGTTCATAGGTTGACACTCAACCACTTTGCTCGCCGCCCAGCTGTGTGTCAGTTTTCACACTTCAGCTGAGCGCTGGCTGTTGTGAGGTATCACTGAGAGTTTCCGAGGTCTGTGCCCACAGTAAACAGTATCTCCCTTAGCGTTCTGTGTTATTTTTAAACATTCCGTTAGGTTGCCTTCGGCCCCTGTAGATTGTCTTAATTCGGTCATATTTTGCACCTGAAAGGTATTATCATTATCTTTCAAACGATCCCTGAAACCATTAGGCTTGACCTACATTTTCCTAACGGCCACGTGTGTGTGTGCGTGTGTGTGTGTGTGTGTGTGTGTGCGCGCGCGCGCGCCTGTGTGTGTGCTGGGGGGGGGAGAGGGGA